GGGAGAAGGCGCGGGCTGCCCCGCCGCGTGGTGAGAGCCGGCCCTCCTCTCTCCGCGGCTCACTCCGTTCTTCCTGCCTGGCCGGCCCGCCGGGGTTTTCCCCGTGGACCGACCCACGTCTTAACTCCCAGGTGCCTGAGCCTCCCAGAGGCCTTCCGTTTGGGGGCTGTGGTCCCGTAGGCGTGGGAGGCCCGCGTGGCCCTCCGGGGAGCCCCCTGCAGCCACTGCGCAGACACCTGGTTTCCTTCCCGGTTGGGACCGGTACTTCAGCCAGTAGGAGAATCCCCTTTTCTGCTTGTCAGTTGGGGGCATGACAGCCCCAGATGGCCTGCTGGGGGCTGCCACATTCTCTAATTCAGTTCCTGTGTCCCCTGGTGGGGGCCGAGCTGAACGTTGTCGGGACAGAAAGTAGCCCACGGGATGTGTTAGTGAGAAAGGCCCCCGCACCCCTGGTTCTGTCCCCCAGCTGGCGCTGGGGGAGTGGGCACCACATGCGTGTTCACAAGCATGTGCATGTTCCGGGGTTGAGAGCGTCCCTGCATCCTCTGAGACAGAAGCGCTCCTTCTGGGCGCTGCCCCTGCTGTCACCGTCATTGATCCTCAGGAAGCCAGTCCACGGTTCCAGGGACTGGGCGCACATGAGGACAGGGCTGTCCAAGGCAGGAACCCACCCTGTGTACTTCCTTTCTGTGCAGAATGCCAGGACGTGGTGGCATCCTGTGGGCCACGATGGTGACGTGGACCCACCCAACGCAGCCTGCCCATCAGACTCGGTGGGCGAGTGTCAGAAAGGGGCCAGGAGGCAGGCACCCAGCTCCACTCCTCCCACATGTCGCCCTCCCCACCCGGTGACCAGGCAGCCAGGCCTAAGCACAAGGTCGGTGTGGGGGGCCTGGGTGGCGGGGACAGGGGCCTTGTGGGAAACCCTGGCCCCTTCCATCCTGTCTCAGGCCCCGCAGGGATGGGGGCTGTGCGGGGACAATGTGGAGGGCAGACCAGGCAGGGCTTGTCCTGAAATGTTGGCCTGTGAGGGTGGCACTGGGACCCGGGAGGGCTGCTGGCTGGAGCCATGTGGCTGTCCCCCACTGTGGGCCCTGAGCCATGGCCTCAGGCCCTGTGGGCAGCCGGATCGAGTCTCTTTATCCTGGCCTGAGATCTTCCACCACCATCTGGGCCTGCTGGGCCCAGGCCCAGCCCCCTGGGGGCTTCCAGAGCTGACTCTGCTTGTTTTCTGGGAAAGGAAGGGAGGGGGCAGGTGGGCTGGGGGTACCACGTGGTTGGCCAGGGGGGCCGGACCTGTGGGTGCAGAGCTGGGCTGGAGCCCCTCCCACCCCCACCTTGGCCTCTGCCCTCCTCTGGGTCCTGAGGCCTCGCCCACTCTGGCCCCTGGGGAAGCACCTTTTCCCTGCAGGCCGCTCAGAGGGTGATGCCGGACACCCTGGCATCCAGCCCCGGGACAGTGCGGGCTGAGCTGCGGCCACCGGGCACCTCGGCCTCCCAAGCCTTCTCCAGCAAGCCCACCAGCCAGGGAAGACTGGCCATGACGGCCCTGGGGTGCGTGGGGGCTGGTCAGAAAGGGCCTGGTGGGCTGATTGCTCAGGAGTCCCCCACGGGCCCCCAGCATACACACACACACCGTGGTGACACAGGGACCCTGCGGAGGATGGTGCCACACGGTTGGGGACCCCACGTGCAGCCCGGGGCCACCCCCGTCCAGAGTGACAGGGTGGGGGAAGTCCCTGTGTTCACCTGGGGCATGGGGAGGCCTGCGAGATCTGTCCTCCCAGCCTCCAGGGACTCTCTGCTGGGAAGAGAGAGGGGGCGAGGCTTGTGTGTGGAGGGGGCTTGGTGAGGGGGCAGGGCACCCCCCAGGGGCCATGGGGCAGGTTCCCAGGGACGGGGCCGGGTGAGGCCTTCAGGGCCAATCTGAGCCTGACAAGGGGGCCCCTACCCAGCTGCTCACCTCTTCAGGCCCTCTGACCTGGCCAGGGAGGCAGGTGGGAGGGTGGGGCCCCAGCAGTGAGGCGGCTGACAGGCCAGGCTCCCCCTGCCCCAGGTAAGCTGACCGGTTCTTAGGAGGGAGGGACAGGTCGCAGCAGGTGAAGAGGCCCACCGCCAGTCCAGCAGGCAGAGCCTTTCTGACCAGCCCCCGCGCACCCTAGGGCCATCACGGCCAGTCTTCCCTGGCTGGTGGGCTTGCTGGAGAAGGCGTGGGAGGCCGAGGTGCCCAGTGGCCACAGCTCAGCCCGCACTGTCCTAGGGCTGGATGTCAGGGTGTCTGGCATCACCTGCCACCCACGGCTGACAGTGAGGAAAGGGCACCAGGAGGGGCTCCCCCCGGGCGACCATCCTGGGACCACCTCTGGTGTCCTCCAGGCAGAGAGGACACGGGAGTGGGCTCGAGGGGAGGGGCTCAGGGAGGGAGGGTTGTGGGGTCTAGTCACCGTGGAGCAGCCCAGGGAACAAGAGGCCTGGGGACTGCAGGACCACGGGGAGGGTCTGACCGCCCACCCCCCCTTCCCTGGTGAGCAAGTACAGCTCCCAGGCTTTTGGGGTGGGAGGGGGACCCTGAAACACAGTCTCCACTGTGTTCAAGCGCACGGACACGCACGCACACATGCACACACACGCACGTCTCTGTTCTGAGACACACTGTCTCTTCAGAAAGCTCTCCCCGCAGAGCAGGGCGGGGCGCGCAGGCTGCACCGGGGAGCGAGCGCTCCAGCGGAAAGCTACTTTGTTTTGAAGGAAGTGATTTTATTTCTTGGGTTTGTGCAGATGGACTGGGAACTGGGTTTTTCCAGTTTTATCAGCTGCCGGGACTCAGGGACCCTGGACTGCAGATATCCCCTGAAGTGACAGCACTCCAGCCAGATGCCCGGCTCTGAGCCCAGGGGAGGGCCAGGCTGGACGGCACAGCTGCCCTGGACCTGGGCCGGGAGGCCAGCGGACGGCTGGGGCTGCCCTGGCAGCGACCCCGCCCCGGCAGGTCCGACACGCCTGGTCTAAGTACCCCAACCCCAATCTTCCCCACGTCTCTGAGACCTGCTCCAGGTCTCACCTCCCAGAAAGCCCTCAGGGGCTCTGGGGCGCCAGAGCCCTGGGTGCCCCCAAGTCCCACAAAACCGTGGGAACAGGACCCTGGAGAGTGTCATTCACACGTCCTGGGCCCTCCTCGTCAGGGTGGAGTGGGCACGGTGCCCCAGTACCTGGAGCTGCCCCCGCCCAGACCCAACCAGGGGTGCCCGAGAGGCCCTCCTAGAGCCATCTGGAGACAGCTGTGACAAAGCCCTGGGGGCTGGTGCGGGGCGTGCGCAGTGTGTGGCCCCTTCTCACCGTCCAGTGCTGGTTTTGCAGATCAGGATGCTGGCACCCCCGACCCCGTCAGGCCTGTTTATTCCTGGGGGTGGGAAGGGGCACAGGGAAGAGGGGACACCCCACTCCCACATCTCCCTGCCTGGCGGCAGGAGGAGCCACGCCACCCACCCACAGGCACCTGATGTGTGACAATCTAGTGGTGGGGAGACAGCCTCGAGTGCAGGGTGGAGGAGACACACACAGGAAGCCCCGTCTGGCCCCCAGACCCATTGCAGACTCAGGTAGCCCTGAGCGAGGAACAGAGTGGTCGTGAGCCCAAGCATGAGGGCGTGTGCAAGCATGTGCGCAGGTGTGCAGGTGTGTGTGCGCGTGCTTGTGTGTGTCCCCAGGAAGGGGGCTCATGGGCCATCCCCGGGTCGGGGATGCGGACTGACCAGGACTTGGTTCCGAGCCTGGGAGAAGGGAAGGAAGGACCAGCCCCCAAACCCTGCAGCCTGGGTCTGAGCCAAGATGAGGGCCTCCCTCTGTTAGGGCTCAGCGAAGCACGTGAAGCTGCCATCACCCTTGCTTGGCGACGGTGGTCCGTGTTCAACTGGTCCCCACACCCGGCCAAGGAGGAGGCGGCTGAGGCTGCCTCGCAGACCCTGACTTGTGAGCCACCAGACAGCTGTCCCCGCAGCATGGGATGCGTCCACCTCTGCCCAGGGGAAGGGGATCTGGTGCTCCACCCGCTGCACTGTCTGGCGGAGCCTCCGTAGGACAGCTGCCTGCAGCCCTCACACCACCTTCCCGAATCCAGCAGGGACCCTGGTCCACGGCCCCACCCAGCTCAGCCCTGCCTGATGCCCAGAGGACCTTGGGGCCGTGTCACCAGCTGCGGCCGAGCTGGACGGAGCCCTGAGCCTGGGCCTTGGCCTTGTGAACTCAGCCCCAGAACTCCCGCTCACTTCTCAGCCCCTCCCCTCCTGACCTGCCCCGGCGCCATCCTCCGGTCCCGCCCCATTTAGAGCTGAGCAAGGACCTCAGGCTCCCTCCCCCACGGCCAGGCGAAGTCCCAGGCGCGCAGTCGCCCTCGTCTCTCCTCTCTGCAGCCTCTAAGGCCCTGGGACCCCAGGCACAGGCCTCCAGCCGCCCTTTCCTCCCCCAGTTCGGCCACCATCTGTGACCTCCGCCCTTTCCTGGCTCCATGCCTGGGCTTACAACCACCCCGAGGACCCCACTCGGCCCGCTTTCTCCATTCTGCCCCTGCCGGGCCAAGGCAGCCCCAGCCCCCTGCAGCTCCTCCCCTCCTGGACCCCAGCGCCCTGACCCTTTCTCGAGACCTCCCTCTCTAACCCGGGGGGCCCGCCAAGTATCTCACCTGTGTGCCACCGAGGCAGTCCTTTGCTGGGCCCCCTTTCCAGGTGTCCGCCACGGTGGCCTGCCACTAACCCACCCCTATCTCTGCCCAGTGTGGGGGCCCCGCTGGCCACTGGGCAGGGGAAGGGTCTGCAGATCTCCCAGCATGGCCAAGATCTCCAGCACCAATTGCCGGGGGCCAGGATGCGCCCTTGGAAGGTCTGATACCTGGGAGCCACAGAGCTCTGGCCGAGAGGGAGCTGACCCTCATGTGGAAGGTGAGGGAGGGTCATCCTGGCTCCTGCTTGGCCTCTGGGCCCGCTTGGTGGCTGGACTGTGGGTGACATGGGGAGGCTGGCCACAGAAGATGGTGGACAAGGAGTCATCTCCAGGCTCCAGGACCAGAGGCTGTCAGACTGGGCCCTTCCCTTCCTCCCAGAGAGGAGTCCTGGCCCCTCGTGGGCCCCCATCATCCCTGCCCGTCCCCGGTGAGGCTCTGCTCACGTGCACTCCTCTCACACATGCGGTGTTCAGGCTGGAATGTCGGCAGCCGTCGGGAGGAGATGGCCTGTGTCTCCAGCTTCAGGGCTCGGGACCGTAAGAAGGTCATCCGGAACCAGAGGACAGGCCGCAGCCGGAGTGGACGCGGACCTGTGCGGCGCCCAGTGGGGCCTGTGGCCGTTGTGTCTGGGCGGCGGGCGAGTTTCTCCCTTTCCGGTGGACAGCGGGGCCTCGTGTCAGCCGGCAACACGGCCACTCGGAACTCAGGCCCCGATTCCCAGCCTTCTGGGTGGTTGGCAGCGGCCGCAAGGCTAAGTCTGGACAAGAGACTCGCAGTGACATTTGCACTTTTGCAGATGGCTTCTGAGAGAGGGGCTCCCCTCGCCCCTGGCCTCGGTGCTGCCAGGGACAGCCCCGAGCCAGCCACGTGGGGCAGAGGCCGCACACGGTGGTGACACAGCCAGTAGGAGGATCCGTGAGCCGTGAAGCGCCACATGGGCCCTGGCCGCCGCCTCTGGACTTTCACGTCAGAGAGAAACAGGGTCACTAGGCTGCGTGTAGGGACAACGGTGAGCTGTCTGCAGTCCACCCTGGGGCTCGGCTGGCGCGCTGTGCAGGCCACAAAGCCCCGCCGTCCGCAGCCCGCCAGCCGGACACGCAGGGCCGCCGGGCGGTGCGCTTCAACCCAAATCCACGGCCTGGGAGTCTGGGGCCAGATCGGGGCCCATCTGGGTTGGAAAGTCCAAGAACCAGGAGCACCGGTGTCCTAGGGCGGGGCGGGGTGGGGAGCGGCGCAGGCCCCGCAGAGGGACCTCATGCTGCCACCGCCGCCTTTCTGTTCTATTCGGGCCGTCGAGGGGCGGGACCAGGCCACCCACGCCACATGCCAGGGTCTCCCAGGGACGGCCTCCCAGACACACCAGAAATGAGGGGCTGCTGCTCCCTGGGTGCCCTTAACCCAGACAAGAGGTCATGTGAAGTCGGCCAGCACCCCGGCTGTGGGGGAAGCACCCCTGCACTTGGGAGCCTGTGGGAAGCCCGAGCCATTTGAGGGGACCCTCAGGAGGAGGAGACAGTGGGGAAAGGGGGCCTCCGAAGCCACGCCCGCTGTGAGCCAGGCACTTGCCGGGGGCGGGCAGGCCGAGCCCCCAGCCCCTGCCCGGGGGTGGGGGGGGGCCGCAGCTGCTCCACGCACCTGTGAGAAGTTCTGGTTCTGCCAACACAGGCTGAGCCCTGGGCAGGATGGGGGCGCTTCGGACCGTGCCGACCTGGGAGAAGACAGGCCCCAGCCAAAGGGAGGTGCCGGACCCTCCAGCCTGCACCCTCCCCACCTGCCCGTCACCTCTCTGGCGGGTCCCATGCTCAGAGCTCGTTCTGTGCATCATGGGGAGGGTCTCTGTGGGTGTGGGAGCTTTGCCTCCTCCCAGGGTCCAGGCCACCAAGCCCTGAACCCAGAAACTCCCATGTCCCCCCCAGGCCCCTAAGAACTGTGCAGCCAAGAGACAGCGGCCAGGCCAAGGTCTCTCTGGGGAACTCCCCAGCTGGTCCAGCCTCACCCAGGGGCACCCATGTCAGGACTAGGAGAGTAGAGGGTGGGGGCCTCTGTTGCCCGCAGAGGTGCTGGGGTGGGGGCAGGAGAGAAGACACTGGCCTGCGGCTGCCCGGGCCTAGGAGCGGGGCTGGGGCTGCAGAACAGGGTCAGTGTTCGGCCAGCCGGGCACAGACAGCCTCTGTCCTCCCTGTCCCTCCTTGCCCTCCCTTTCCACTGCCACCCATGTGCCCTGGGACCAGAGGGCAGCTCAGCCATCTCCCAGCGGGTCTGTGCCCGCCAGACCAGGGCAGGTGGGGGCAGGTTTCATGGCAGCAGCCCAGCTGGGCACATGGGCCTTTGGCTCCGGTGCCTGCTGTGACGGCCCCCAGACATGGGCCATGACCCCCCAGACCCAGCTGGGAGCTCCCAACCAGCAGGAGGCCCTGGTGTCCGGCGTGGGGTGCAGACTGCTCCACCAGTGGGTGCAGGGGCACATGAGTGACAGGAGGCCAGGCCAGGGGACCTCCCAGGAGCTGGTTGTCTCGGCAGCTAGGCAGGGGGACCTGAGGGCAGGCTTGGGCTAGTGGCGTGGAATAGGGGACCGAGGGGGGACAGCTTGTCAGATGGGGAGGCCCGGGGTAGGGGAGGGTCACCCTTGAGGACAGAGAGAACTCGTAGGGGCCCATCTGTGTGACTGAGGGAGGGGACAGGCCCGTGGGACTTGTGCTGGAGGGCTGGGGAGGGACAACTCGTGAGGTGAGACATTAAAATTACAAACACAAAATCAGGTTCAGGGCCTCAGAGGAGCCCAAGCAGGTGAGAGAAGGCCCTGACTCTGGGCACCAAGGACCTGAAACAGGGCTGCCGGCCAGAGCCGGGACTCTCCACAGCCCCCTCTGCCCCCGACCCAGGGGCCTCTCCGTCTCTGCCCGAAACTCTGGGCCCCTCACTTGGGCATACCCTCTCCCACCTGGGTCCGCCTGCCCCGGGCCACCCACGCCTCACTCCAGGGGCGTTTCTCCCTTAGCCCTGCGTTCCCTGCCTCCAGCCCTCTGCATGTGCGTAACCACAGGCACACCAGCTGGCAGGCATGTGCACAAAACACGTACAGACGCTCACACACACAGACGTGCAGAGCCCACACACAAGCGTGTGCCACACCCCCCCACTCACACGCACATGTGCACTCGGGTGCACACACGCCACAAGCACTCGCACTGCACACCCACGGTGCCCAGTCGCCCGGGCCTGCGGTGAGTCTGGGGGCCGGGGGCGGGAGGTGGGGGGTGCGTCCCGAGGAGCCTGGGCTGGGGGCAGTGGTGGTGCAGACAGGCCCTGTCCCTGCTGCCCAGCACTCCATCCTCACAGTGCGACCCTGAGGCCTGGGGGGGCGGAGTGAGGCTGGGGAGCTGAGGGCGTCCCAGGGCCCATGCAGGGACCCACCAAGGTGGCGGGAGGCAGTCTGAGGTCCGGCCCCTTCCTTGCCCTGCTACAGCCTCTCGCTCTCCCCCCTCCTCTAGGGACTGTCTCCCCTTCCTTCTCGCACTCCAGCTCCCCCCACCCGCCGTCTGCCTGGCCTCCCCGACTCTCAGATGGCCCAGGTCAGCCCCTCTCCTGAGATGGTGGCCTCGCCCCTCCGGAGCCCAGCCTGGCCCCTGGCTGACCCCATCCTCACAGCCTGTCAGGGCCTTCCTTGTGTCCTGTCCCCCGAGGCCACATCTGTTCCCACAACCCTCCCCCACCAGAAATAACGCTTGGTGCCAGGAGAAGCCAGCGTGACCGCCAGACACCACATGGGGTGGACAGGGGCTGTGGGGCAGACTGGGGGTGGCTTCCAGAGCACCGGGGTGCCAGGCCCAGGCGGGGAGCCCAGCGTCCTCTCTGACGTTTGTCCTCACTAAGGGAGGCCTGGGCACTCTCCTGGCCTGGCCTGGGCTCTAGGACCAACAGAGCCAGACCCGTCCTCACACACGGGCCCCAGAGGCCGGCTACCAGCCTGGGGAGCGGGGAGCAGCGGGTGACCCAGCTGGGACCCCCGGGGTGCCAGGACACAGCCTGTGGCCAAGGGCCCCCTGCCCAGCCCCACAGGATCCAGTACCTCACCAGCTAGGCGCCCACTCTGCTCAGAGCTGTGGCCCC